GAAATCCCACCCTAAATGGAGAGAGAGTACTTATCAGATCTCTCTGGTGAATTCATAGCCTAGGTGTCACAACTGAGAAGTCTCAGGTTGCTCACCAATTGGATATTTATCAGTAAAGAGGCAGAGAAGAAGGGCTGCAATGGATTTGGACAGGCTCATATAGATGAAGGCAGTCCTTAAGAAAGCTAGTCATCTTCTGTCACCCTGGTTCTTTCTGAATTGGCTGCTCTTCACATGTATATTGCTTCCCTGGGTTCAGATGGCATCTAGCTTAACCCCTTCATCAGTTGATGCGTACAAATGATTCTTGGAGCTTTTCCCTGTCTCTTGTTACTAAACTTTTCACAGAATCCATTACTGATACATATACCACTGCCACTTCAAATAACAAAGAATACTTAAGTGTTGTTGTTCATAGAGAAGGCATGTTGGGATATGCACAAACCACATGTTCACAGAACATAATAAACCTGACACTGTCTTTACCATGATACAGCTAAAGCTCTATGAATGTAGGTTGTCAAGGGAAACAAAATGCCAACTTTTGAAATAGGAAGGGATGAGCAGAGGGTTAAGATGACTTTGAATTCTAATTAAGTTGCACTGCCAATGGAAGCACTACATATAGCTGATTCCCAGTACTTGATGGATTTTGTGTAACCTCTTTTTATTTTAGCAGATGGAAGGCAGACTGAAAGAGCAGGTCACTAGGGAGGACACATCTAAGGAATGAGTCACTGCAAAAGGACTGGATGGAGTTGTGAAGATTTTCCACTCTTCTGCTATTTTATATCTGTTATGTTGCTAAAGGTGGGGAAATGGAGCCTTTTCTATATGGGGAGACTGCTACCTTGTGAACAGTGATACCACCAAGGTGACTGAACACAGTAAGATGAAGCTTTTAATGAATGAGAAGTGACAAACCTCTTATGAAGGGACCTTTGGCATTCTTAGGAAATAATTCTTCTGTATTTCTGCATCTCACCTGTGCATTTTTATCACAGAATAGAGGCAGAGCTCTCTTCAGATGTTTGCTTCTAAAAAATGTGTAGATGGCAGTGTGTGTGTGTGTGCATGCTTTCTTTTATCCTTTTTTTCCCCAAAGATGTAGGCACTTAGAATCACTGCAGTGCTGTGTTCCAAACCAGCATGGCTATTTTCCAGACTCTGGCCTCCTGTTTAGATAAAGCAGCATATTGCTCATCCCTGTACCATCCTGTTTTAGAATGCGAGCAATCCTATGCCCATTTGTTATTATATGCTGCCAAGGCAGCTCCACTTCATGGTTACCCCATGAAGGAAACACCTTCAAGAGATCGTGTTATTGACACTCTTGCTCAGGTTTTGCAAACTTAAAAGTTGTGGCTTCTTTTATTAAGTCAGTTCTTCTGTAGTGGTGTCTTCCTCTTTTCTGACTGCCTTTGACTTTTCCCAGCACATGCCCACTTATATAGGAATAAATGACATTAATGTGCTGTTGTGGGGCAGGCTTTAAGAGGCATCAAAGAACAGTGAGTATTTTAGAGTGCAAGTCTCTGTGTGTCTATTCAGAAGCAAACATCACTGTGTTTGAGTTTAATCATCAATAATCTGTATATGATTCTCACACTAAAGTATAGTAGAGCACCGGATGGTATTGGTCAATGACGAAAAAGAAAAAGGAAAAGAGAAAGATGGCCATTTGAATTCCACATGGAAGATCAGCCACAGAAAGAGATGGTGTTTAACACTCAGTGAAACAGCATTGTGGCAGAGATGGTAGCTGCAGTTGCAAATCAGCTTTGTCTCATGAGACTCATAAGACATTTATGTATTCAACCAGAAATGCCTGACACACAAAATGTTGCAGTCTGGTTTCCTGTGCATGTAAAATCTGTTCTGAATTACATCCAGTTGTGCAAGAAAGATGGACAGTATATGCTGGCTGAAAAGATTTCCAATTTGTTCTAATTGGCTGTGTTCCATTTTAGAGGCATATTTCAATCTCTACTGTCCTCCTAGGGTCTTAATATTGTATGTCACGAAAGGCAGTCAGATGGCCAGGTTCACAGCATATAGATGGAACAGCCTAAATGGAAGATTGTGTTCATTCATTAATGTGATCATAATTACTGCATCTGCTTTGCCTTTTGCAATTATTTTGCACCATTTATATACATGGCTTTTTACAAAGATGTCAGATCCTCATTCCAGCAGGCCTTCGATTAAGAATAGATACTAAGAAACAATAGAAAAAATGGTAAGATGGGAACATAAGCAAGTTTACCACAGTGTTTTGCAAAATAATGTGAGGAGGGGAAAAGGCAGGCATCTGTCTTGAGGAGCTGGCAGTCTAATAATAGATAAGACAGAGAAGAGGTTAGTGATCAAAGGTTTTCTGTTTTCTTTTTGTTATCCATATAGGTGCTATTGTCTTTTAGTGTATGCTTTATAATTGTTCTGTTTTGATTTTTATTTGGTTTTTCATTTACTGTTTGTTTTTATTGATGCCAGATTAATGTCAAACATAACATCAATTAAATCGAACAAAGGATCATTTGCATTAACAATGCTAAGGTACTCAAAATGTGTTAGCCAGTCCTAACACAGCTAATTTTCATACTGTTTGATTTTTGATGTGAAAATTGCTAAATTGACGATGCAAAATGAGTTCAAGAAGAAAATCCCTTACCTTGCATTCTTTCACACTTTCTTTTTGCAACTATTCACACTGTTATTCCCCATGTCTGCTGCTTTAGCACTATTATTTTAAATGTGAAGTGCTCCTTCACAAGATAATCATTGCCAGTCATATTGTGAATGCAATGCCTTTGTGGAACCAGTCAATTTTATGGAGATATTGGGAGCGAGGGGAGTGCTCAGACAAGAAGTGCAGGTAGAAGGCATAGAAATAAATATAAATGGCTATATAAGATGAATTAGAGAAGAAAAATATGAATTTTTAAAGATATCTATACTTATAATGCATGATGCAGTTCATTATATACTTCGTTGTGTCTGATGAAGTAGATTACAACCTCATGTGAAATCTGTTAGAATCAAAGATGCCTTCAGCTTTTAAAAACCTCAACTTTTTTCTTCTCCTTCCTCCTTTCTATACTGAAACAGACTAACATTGAAGTTTTCTTTTAACTGTCCTTTTAACTGTTTTAGCCATTTTCTTTCCAATTTTTTGGCTTTTCTTGTTATGAAAGTATGCATGGCATGAAGAAAGGAGGTATTTATAATGTTTTATAATGTACCATATATACTTGTGTATACGTTGGAAAAATTATGACACAAAATCGACCCAAAAGGCCTGGGTTGACTTATTTTTGGGTAAATGCTGGAAAGAAATGATGCCAACACTGGCTGGGTGAGTTCTGTGCTCCCGTTGTTTTGGGCGCATGAGGTAGAGAGGAGCAACAGCAGCCATTTTTACTAAGGGTTTACTGTATAAGTCTTGCAAGACTTCATAGTTTATTTGCAAGTCTCATGAAGTAAACTTTCTTAAAAATGGCTGCCATGAACGTGAGGTGTAGCTTATACTGTAAGCCCAAATTGGCAGGTGCTGTGCATGTTTCAGGCTTCATGTTGCTGCTGAATGCTGCTCAAGCCAAAAAAGGAGGTGGGGAAGGAGAGAAGAATGGAGGGCTGTCTTTCTTTCTCCAGTTTGGGCAAGAGAGGGGTAATAGGGTGGGAGTGCTGCTTCCACATCCTACCACACCAAGACGAGCTTCTTACCCCTGCCTCTTATCACTGCCTTTGCGATGGGTCCCTAATAGAGGCAGGTGACTTTCCTTGCTCTTCCCACCCTTTATCCCCAAGCAGCATTCCTATTCTTTTTCCTCATTTATATTCTTTTCTCTATCTGCATTTGTATAGATGTAGAGTAGACATTTTAAGATCAGCAATGCAATTTGCAACCCTCCCAATTGCAACCCCGCAAAGAAACCCTCTTCATTTTAGCTCTACCTGAGTATTTTCCCTTATGCATTTTTAAAAGGAGAGGAAAAGGTTTGTTTATGACATGTCCCTAGGTTTTATCTGACTTATCCACAGGTCATAGCAAAATCCATAATTTTGACTCTGAACCTGCCCTTGACTTATATATAGGTTGACTTATGTACGTGTATATATGGTACATGGTTTTAAAAGACTTAACAAAGAAACAAAATATAAGGTTATTAATGGCTACTAATTAAGGTGACTAAATATTATCTCCACTGTCAGGGGCAGTATACCTCTTGGTACTGGTGGATAACCATGGGATAAAATTAATGCCTTCATGTTCTTCTAATGAGCTTTCAAGAAGCATCTAGTTAGCCACTGTGGGGAATGGGATGCTAGACTATATAGACCTTTGATCTCATGCAACCCAGTTCTTCCTATATTTCTATGCTAGAAAAAGTCTAAAGGTTTGTCTTCCTTTTGAGGTCTGGCACTGTGTGAAAGTCACCCCATCCCCCCCCCAAAGTAGAGTTGTCGTTTCTTAAGATGCAGGTTTCAATTGGCACTCCCGTCCTATGGGACTGTAATTTTAATTGCCTGGTTTGTAATGCTCTACTTGTCTTGGCAAGATCAGTTTCACTCTGGAAACTTATTCTTTGTCCCCACAACTCTTTTTATGTAATGCATTTTCAAAATTAGGTATTCCTTGGTGGAAACAGTTCTTGTCTTTATGTGAAATTTATAAACCCATTACTGATTTTACACTCAAACATGCCTTTGTAACAATGAAAATAGCAGAAGAAATGTATCTTTCGCAATTGATAGTGCACAGTATCCCAGCTTGTAGCTTTTAATAGTTTGTATAAGCTACAGGCAGTACAGGGTTTAATATAGTGGCTGTAGGACTGTATCATGAAGATATGTGGAAGGTCTAGGAAATTATATGTTGTTCAAGTTGAGCAACTCTTCAAGTGTGAAAATTGGCAACATTTGTTCAGAGGGAGTTTGCTTTTGCCTTCCTCTAAGGTTGAGAGAATGTGACTTACCCAAGGTCATCTAGTAGGTTTTCATGGCTGAACAGGGATTTGAACCCTGATCTCCAGAGTTGTAGTTCAGTGCTCAGACCACTACACCACACTGCAGCAAATTCAAATAATCAGCCACTCACTTCACAAATTGGCAAAAGCAAAGACATTTCACTTTGAAGATGACTTTCATGTGATATGAATGAAGGGATGCCATGTTGAACATACAACAAAATCCAAAGTCCCTATTGGGCTAATACCTTTATTAGGCCAACCAAAGATGCATAGAAATCAGTCATAAATTTCTGTTAGCTAATGTGATCCAGTCACTTGGTTAGGAGGTGGATTTGAATTTGTGTTCAGGCAAAGGCTTACTGAGTAGCTTTTGGCAATCCTTTTCTTTTAGCTTTAGGTCTTGTCTATACTGCAGATGCAGAACTCACTTCAAAATTATTTTTTTGTCATTGGTTTGTCATAGGAACATAGGAAGGGCCTAACTGTAGGACCATCTGTTCCAACATCCTGCTGGCCACAGGATGCCTGTGTGCATATCCCTCATGCTGTTACCTCCCAGCAACCCATGTTTAGTGCCATTTTAATCTTAATCAAAGCTTGGCAAAGTTACTTTTTAGACTCAGCTCTCAAAATCCCCTGGGTGCAGGAGGATTGTTGAGAGCTGTAGTCATAAAAGTACCTTATCCATACTTTTCTCTAAATATAACACTTACTATAGTTCCCACAACCAACAGTTTAGTTTTTCAACTATGTAGAGGTAGGATCTCATGCAACCCAATTCTTCCTATATTTCTATGCTAGAAAAAGTCTAAAGCTTTGTCTTCCTGTTGAGGTCTGGCACTGTGTGAAAGACCCCCCCCCCCCAAAGTATCCTGTTGGATAGGGGTATTGTTACAGTAGTAAAAATAGCAGAGAAGAGTCAGGCTATAGGCAAGGTATAAATTACAGTCACCCTCTGTTTTCACAGACTTCGGATAAGCGAGAGACATACAAAGGGGCATATAATGGGGCACATGCCCCCACACCTCCATTCAAGCCTATGGGGCTTGAATATATGTGGGTTTCCATTTTTGCGGAGGGGTCCAGACTGGATCCACTGCAAAAATGGAGGGGCAAGTGTACTTCTTTCAGCCATGGTTATTGTGATGACATGCAGAAATGCTGGGACAGAAAATGTTGTTTTAATATTGATTGGACAGATACAGACATCTGAACAGTCCTCTAGTTCAAAACATGCTCTTCATTTATGTGCAGGAATAAAATGCTGAGAGAAATGTGTGTGGTCTTCTTTCACTTATTCTCTAACTTCTTTCAGCACTCAACCTGCTTTCTGTATGCAATCCCTATCCTGTATATGCATCTGTTTATTTTTAAAAAATTTTTTAGCTGTTTTAACTTTTTTATTTCACCACTCAGTATGCATTTCGCTGCTCCTCCAAGTCGCTAACCATTTGTCTGCCCCTCTAAGCCAACCTCATGGGTGACCAAGATTGTGGTGATGTTGATACTGTTAGGATCCAAACAAAGGGTGCCAAAGGAGAAGAAAGAACACTTAATGTCTGTGGAGTAAAGCTGGTGCTTTTTACAATAGCTTTTCTTTAAAAACAACAACAAACATAACAAAACACCAAACTATAACTATAATTGATGTGAATTTTGCTTTTGAAGTAGTATATGGAAAGCAATTAATAACACTGCTGGTTTTATGCTATTTAATGAATGCAATGTGCTGAATATCTATATAGACACACATGCACATTTACACGTTTACTTGGTGGGGATGTTATAGTCCAACCCCTTGCCATGCAGGAACTCACAATTGAAGCACCCCTGACAGATAGCCATCCAGCCTCTGTTTAAAAACCTCCAAAGAAGGAGATTCCACCACTCTCCAAGGGAGTGGGTTCCATTATTGAACAGCTCTTACTGTCAGGAGGTTCCTCCTAATGTTGAGGTGGAATCTCTTTTCCTGCAGCTTCCATCCATTGTTCTGGGTTCTATTCTCTGGAGGAGCAGAAAACAAGCTTGTTCCATTCTCAATATGACACCCCTTCAAATACTTAAATAGGGCTATCATATCACCTCTTAACTGTCTATTCCTCAGACTAAACATACCCAGCTCCCTAAGTCTTTCCTCATAAGGCATGGTTTCCAGACCCTTCATCATTTTAGTGTAGGACGTGAAGAGCTGAAGAATACTTAGAAATATTTGCAGATGGTAGAGGAGCTCACTGAGATACCAAGGAAGAGGATAAGCCAAAATTAAATCTGTTTGATAAGAATGAGGGATGAAGAGACATTAATAGCCTGGACAGGGGGCTATATATGCCACCTGGTCTGTTCACAATTTTCTATGCTATGATGATTTCAGTTACATTTATCCGTAAATTATGCTAATTGTATCCAATTATGCCTATATTTGCATACATTTAATTAGTGTATGCAAATGATGCCCTCCTATTTTGGTGATGCTCCTCTAAATTTTTGGCAGTGGATCAGTGGCAACCCTAGTGAGTTATCCTCAGGCCATTTTTTGCTGAAAAACATTGAAATTAATTGCATAGTTCCAGAAATAATTGTTTGAAGGCTGCAGATCTTAGCTGTTATTCAAAACAAGACTGCAGCTAGTGCTGGGAATGCAAGTTTGCTTTAGGCTGTGAGACTGATATCACTACATTTTTTAAAAAAAATGAAGGTTAACTGAATCAGCTTTGTCCTGTTGTCTTTTCTACCATTTATTCAAAAAATGACACATAATGCTAAAATAAATGAAAAAGATTTTAATTGTTGCTCAGTTGATGGAGATTGATGAAATAGAAAATCATGGCAGATTCATTCATGGATTAAAGATTTATGCTTGGCATAAATTATGTTTTGTAGACACATCATTTGTTGATGGAATTCTGCCAGCTGTCCCCTTTTTGTGGAATGGCATCTGAAGGCTCCCCCACAATGAGCTTTGGTCACCTTTTCTTCATACTGTGCTGTGATTGTGGTCATGATATTATGGAAAAGTTATAGTTCAGACCAATGGTACATGGACATTGTTTCCAGGGAGGTATGAAACTCCCTGAGAAACTTCATTAGTCTTAACTTTTTCAAATATTCTCCCCAGCTAGAACTTTTACATCTGACTTGAAATTTAGCTGTACATGTTTGTTTGTATCAGCCCTGGTGGCGCAGTGGTTAAATGCCTGTACTGCAGCCACTCACTCATAGACCACAAGGTTGCGAGTTCAATACCAGCCAGGGCTGAGGCTCGACTCAGGCCTGCATCCTTCCGAGGTCGCTAAAATGAGTACCCAGCTTGTTGGGGGGCAATCAGCTCACAGTTGTAAACCGCTTAGACATCCCATAGCGTGATATGAAGCGGTATATAAATAAGCTGCTTTGCTTTTATTTATTTATTTATGGCCACTATAACCTATTAAACACTAGCCTACTTGTGTGGGGATTCTTCAATCTCATAAACTCCAAAGAGATGCTGGTGGGACCTCCATGTTTAGAAGCATTGTGCCTTTGAATACCAGTTGACAGAGGTGAAAAATAATGAAGAAACCTGCAGCATATTAAAGACCCAGATGTTAACTAGATTAGATCAAATAAATCAATGGGAATTTGGTAATACCTGCAAAAATTTTCTTGGTTCATTGAGTTAAATCTAGTTGGGATTAACAAATGTAGCAAATTTATTAAACAGAATATAGAGAAACAGAATGGTTCCCAGTTGACAAAGGGGTCAGGCAAGGTTGCATTCTACTGCTCTACTTATTCAGCTTGTATACAGAAAATATTATATGAAGAGCAGGTTTAGACTTAGAAGGGGGAAGTAAAGACAGGAGGAACATCAACAATCAAAGGGGGATTGCAGACTGCCAGATATAGTGCAAATTGAGTTCACTTTTAGGGTTAGGGTTAGGGCTAGGGAATCATGGGAACTGTATTTTATTGTGGCACCAGAGCTCTCTGACAGAGAAGGCTCAATGTCTCAGAAAAAAACAATTCCCATGATTCCCTAGCACTAACTCTAACCCTAAAAGTGGACTCAATTTGCACTATTTCTGGCAGTCTGCAACCCCCCCTAAGATATTTGGATGACACCACTAATGGGAAACATCATAGACTTTGAATAATTACTAAGACAAGTTAAAGAAGAAAGTGCAAAGGCAGGCTTACTACAGAACATAAAGAAAACAAAAAATAATGATCACAGAAGATTTACATAAATTCAACCTAGATAAAGAGGAAATTGAAACAGTTAAAGATTTCCTATACTCTGGATCAAACATTGATCAAAATGGAGCCTGCAGTCAAGAAATCAGAAGAAGGCTAGGAATGGGAAGAGCACCTATGAATGAACTAGACAAGTTCCTAAAATATAAAGATATACAAATGAACACTAAAGTTAGTATCATCTAAGTCACTGTATTCCCCATTACCATGTATGGATCTGAGAGCTGGGTAGTGAAAAAAAAAACTGTTAGGGGGAAAAAAAACTCATTTGAGATGTAGTGCTGGAGAAGAGTGCTGAGAATACCATGGACTTCCAAAAAGACAGATCAAGCCTGAACTGTCCAAGATGACAAAACAGAGGCTGTCGTACTTTGGCCATATCATGTGAAGGCATGACGCACTGGAAAAGACAACAAGAATGGAAGAGAGCAGGAGAAAAAGAGAAAAACCACACGCCAGATGGCTAGACTCAATAAGGGAGGTCATAGACCTGAGCCTAAAGGCTTGAGCACAAAGGCTGAGAATACGGGGTCTTGGAGATGTCTCATTCATAGGGTTGCCATAAGTAAAGATCGACTCAAAGGCAGATAACAACAAATTGTGGACACAAATTTTATTTTCTTTGTCCCCTTACATGCCCTTATGGTTTTCCAGGAAGCAGCTGGTTATGCTGGACTAGGTGAATTGTTGTATTGATCCAGCAGGGTGTTTCCTTTAAGTTGTCACCTTACAGTTTGATTAACAGCCTTAATAATGGCTTTTGTGGGTGACAGAGACAGATAGGCAGTTGCCATCATATGTGTGTAGGTGTAGGCTTTCATGGCTGGCATCCATAGTTCTCTGTGGGTTTTTCGGGCTGTGTGGCCATG